TTGCTATATATGTACATATATATATATGTATTGCACAACACCAGCTGCTAGAAATACAGCGATTGGGGTCCAAACGCTGGCTGAGACGCCGTTCAAGGCCTCCGCTGCTTCCACGACGCACGGTGCCAGCGCCCTCCGATCTTGGGAACCCCTGTCCTCGTGGTGACCCGGGCCCCAGCAGGCGCCGGCGGGAAGTCGTCGGGGAGCGGCTCGGCCTCCTGGCGTGCCGGCGGGTCCTCCTTGGCCTCGGGCGTCGCCGCGTCGTCGCTCCTGCAGGGAGCGGGCGGGGGGGCCCCGTTCGCGAGGCCCTCGTCGCCGTCGCCGTCGCCGCTGCCGTGGGCGTGGTCGTGGTCGAGGTCGTGGTCGCGATCGTGCGAGGGCGAGACGGGGCAGGCCCCCATGTCGAGGCTCGATGTGCGCAGACCCCCGGCGTCGCGTTTCTGGTCACAGCGTCGACCCCCAGAGGTCTGGACCTTTTCGCCGGGACAGGTCTGCATACTGAGTACTTCTTTGACGGTCCCGAGGCCAGATGAGGGCCACCGAAGGCCGAATCTATATATATATCTATATATATGTATATATATATATATAAATACATGTATGTATATATATATATATAGATAGATATAGAGAGAAACAAAAAGAATAACTCCCGTCGTGATTCTGTCACAGCGCGAGGGGGTCTGGGCCCACCTCGAGGTTCGAGGTGCTCGGCGCTCACGGGAGTGTTCTGACGTCTCCCGGAGGCACTTCGAGTGTCGGAGTTCTCTCCGGCAGCTGCGCGTCGCCGAGAGCGCTACGGGGGTATAGCCGGACCCAGGCCAGAAGAACATCCTGCAAGACATTCGACCCACCGTCGGCCACAACACACAGAACATCCAAGGGCACCCTCCCCCAGGATGCACAAGACCATCCAACAATCACGGAGAACATTAGGGCACCCTCCCCGAACCGACCTCGATCTCATACCTCGGTCCGACTGTACACGAATCGTCCCGAACGGCCGCTGGAGGCCCGATCTATGGCCCGAAAGCTACCATCCTCGCGTCGCGAAGAAAGCAGGACGGAGAGTTTCTGGCTGGCGGCCTCTGGGGGTCCCCTCCGGGCCCTGGGACCGTCAACAAAACAGGTGAGTGTACTCGGGGGGGTACGCAAGGGGGCGGTTGGATTCCCAAATCAAGCCATTGGAGGCGAATGCCCGTCTCACATGTGGTACGTTGCTCGATCTGAGCACTCCACATCAGACGGTGGCGACGATGGCTCTCCCATGATTGTGGCGCAACTCCCAACGTGGCCACCACAGAGTTGCGGTCCGCGAATCGTTCGCGGCCGCCTCCGTTCAGATTTCTGGATGCCCACGACCAGCGGACGGCCAAAAGTTGCAATGCATGAAGGTGTCCCAAGAGTGTCTTTCACTGCCCTAATGGGTTAAAAGGCGGCTCGGAATAATCCTTGGCGAGGCCCCGTGCTGCATTGCACGGCAGGAAACCAAACCAAAAACTGCATCCACTGTTGGCGGGACACGGGGGCCGCGCGCACGCGGCCCGTGCGTCGCCACGTAACCCTTCAGGGTCTGACGTTGCTTCTTGATCCAAGTGAGGCCATATGCTTCGCGCGCGCAGTTCCCATTGCGCAGTGACGCGCGGGCGCAGTCGCCGCGCCGAACATGACCAAAAACGGTGCACAGCAACAAAGGGTCCCTGATTGGACCCGAAAGTGTGCTAAAAGCGATGTTTTCTGCACCTCCCATGTGCTGTCTCCCCAATACAACTCACCCGAGCAAATATCCGTGATGGACGGCTGGTCCCTGGGGAGGGCTCCAGACCTCTGGCGAGCCACGCTGCGAAGACAGCACGACGCCGATAGCCAGGATGCCAGGCCGCGACGTTGGGCTGCCAGACGCCCTGCCAGCCTGTGCCCGAGGCGCCGCAGGCACCCTGGTTAAGGCCGCTCGACGAGGCAGCGCAGCGCAGAGTCGAGGCAGCGGGCGTAAGCTCTGGACTCGGCTGCCCTGTGCCGAGGTCGACACAGCAGCTTGGCGCCTGCCCTCGGGGCTCGTCACTGGGATTCGAGGCCGGAGACCGATCCCAGAGGTGCGAGGGCCTGAGTGCCAGAAGCGCGAACCTGAGCACCCGAGTGCGAGGGCTCGCAGACCGACGTGATGGGCAAGCAAGGCAACTCGACACGTCCTCGGGAGATCCCTTAGGTGTCTGGCGCGCCACCGGGCGCGAGGACTGCGGCGTCTCAAACCGTGTGTGCACTGGCCGAGTTGGCCTGTGCTAGCACAAATCGTGTCCCATGCCTGGAGCGCACGGTCTGGCAGTCAACGTGTGTACTTGTCGGTTTCTTTCTTTCTCTCTCTCTCTCTCTCTCTCTCTCTCAACGAGAATGCACGTACACACATAGATGACAATACCCAAGAACAACGAATGCCAGGTCGCCACTAGAATGATACATACTGGGCGGCAAAAGGCTGCAACGATGGCCGGGCGCAGTGATTTCACCGCATCGGCGACGTCCAGTTCCTGGAACGCTCAGTCTGTCTCCGACCCAGACTTTTGAGTTTGGCTCAGAACTGGCACAAGCCATTTTGGCTCAAGAACTGGCTCACGGAGTAGGCGTAGCAAGCATAGTGATTCTCCAGCCACCTAGCATGGCTAATGGTGATGTGGTGCGATCTTCGGTGTGGCCTGCAAGCAATCTCCACAGACAGGAAGCTAGAGTTGCCTTTCAGTATGAAGTTACTTCTATGCTGACTCAAATATTTGAGCAGATGGCCGCACTAAAGGAGAGAATAGGGAAGATGGGACAAAGCATGGAGGCAGTCCGTTCGAAAGATAGATCCCATGGGCAACCCGAACATCAACACACAGACAAGCATGAGATGACGAAATGCTACATTACCGCATGGCCTTTATACATTGTGAAAAAACCGTTACACATCATACAGTGACGTTGCCGAAGGCTGCACATGCCGAATATATCCTAAGAGAAATGAAGTCGGACCTTGTCGGTCAGAAGTTCGGATCTAGTATCCAAACACATTACACTGCCATGCAGCAGATGGATGAAAAAGCTGAAACGAGCCGATCAAATCTACGCCAGCATGTCTGCCGACGACAACGACGAATACACCAGGGACGCTCTGGATTTCGCTTTTGCTGCGTGGCGCCGCGAAGTACCTACTCAGAGCAACAATTACACCAACGATCAGAAGGACAGGATGGCCAACCTGACCATGATCCCATGATTTCCAAAGCTGGTCGAAAGTGAGTTCGACACGCACTTCAGCAAAGAGGGCACGCCTGACAAGGAGGACGATGACAAGAAGGAGCCGAAAGATGATGTGCCAGAAGAGGCGGGAAAGGAGGAGGAAGCAGAGAATCAGTTTTACGACAAAGAGCGTGTGCACTATGGCCAGGGCGACGCGGAGCAGGATGACAAGGTCGACAAATTATACGATATGGTAATGTGTCTTCATCAGCGCATGAATGCGGCCATCAACCCCACCACCAGCACAGGCACGTGACAAGTTCAAGGGCAGTATTATCTACTGCATGCGCCCCTGAGCCTTCGCTATTGCACTCTCCTGGTCCTCTCAGAGAGCCAGCGCGCTAGAGGCGCGCCTACCTCCCTTGCAGAAGCGCCTGTCTTTCCCGGCGACGACAGCTTCGTTCGTTCGTTCAGACTTTGGCACTGACTCTGACAGTATCGCGTTATCTTCCTCCATGTATATGTCAGTATTTCTTTCTCTCTCTCTCTCTCTCTCACTCGCTGTCTCTCTCTATCTCTCTCTCTGTCTGCCTGTCTGCCTGCCTGTCTGCCTGTCTGTCTGTCTGTCTGGCTGGCTGTCTGTCTGTCTGTCTGTCATCTGTCTGCCTCTCTCTCTCTCTTTCTCTCTCCCTCTCTCTCTCTCTCTCTTTTTATCTCCCTCTCTCTCTCTCTGTCTTTCTCGTTCTCTATATGTATATATATATATATATATATATATATATATATATATATGCATACACGCATACAGATTGGTTGCAAGGATGCCCCTCCGGGCCGCACCTCGTCGCGTGCACTGGCCATACTCCTGGGGGGTCCTTGGGTGGCCATGGCACCTCCCTGGGGCTCTCCACAGCTTCCATAGCGGCCCAGGCCCCACAGACGGTCCAAGAGGGCCCCGAGTCGCCGAACGATGGCTCGAAGAAGTCCAAGATGGCCTCAAGATGGCCCAAGAGGCTTCCCAGGCGCCCCCAGAGGCCTCCAAAATGTCTCCCAAGAGGGCCAAAAACAAGCATCAATTACTTTTTCCTCGCGTGTTTGAAGGATTTGGGCGTTCTCCCCTTTTCAGCTGTCCGACGCTCCAAGACGGCCCAAGAGGCCCCCAAGACCAACCCACAACGGCCCAAGAGGCCTCCAAGAGGGCCCCAAGACAGCCTAAGAGCGTCCCAAGACGGCCCAAGAGGCGCCCCAGACGGCCCAAGTGGGCCCCAAGACGACCCCAACAGGGGCCCCAGAGAGAGAACACGAACCGAAAATCCAGCCCTTCCACCCCAAGGGCCCCCAGGAGGCCCCAAGAGGCGCCCAAGAGGCCACCAAGAGGCCACCAGAAGGCCCCCCAAGAGGCCCCCGGGAGGCCCCCAAGAAGGCCTAAAACGGCCCCCAAGAGGCCTCAAAACCGCCCACAAGAGGCCCCCGAGAGGCCTCCCACGAGGTTGCAACGAACATCCACTGGGTTTATAAACCACAGCCCAGACACGGTGGAGGTACATGCCGTAGGCAGCTGGATATATACATGTTGGTTGCAAGGATGGGCGACGATATTCTAGCATGCTTGCATGACTGTCAACATACACATGCCAGGGCTTACGCACAAGCACAAGTACCAACACGCTCGTGATATACAGTTATGCACATCTTAATTTCAGCGCGTGCTCCTGAAGGTCAGCGCGCGCATAATGCGTGCGTGATGTAGAATGATACGCGCACGTTGACCGTTAGCTCCAACCCCATGTTGCAGACCCTGCTAATAACTAAGTTGGCCATGGCAGACATGTTACTGATGTGGTAGGCAACCGAGTGGATGCCAGGCTGGTGTCATAACAAAGTTGGTCCAATGGGGGCGCAATGCTGTGGTAGGCAAGTGCCGGCAAGCGGGTCCTAATATAGCATCGCGCCCACATTGCCAAACTTAAGTTCACTTGCACTTGCCTATGCTACCCTAGCTTCTGTGCGCTCTGCTGGCATGGCGGGAACCGCTAGAGGTAAACCACCAGCGCAGCCTGAGCCCTAGCCAGGTAGACGCCCCATGCCTGTGCAGGCAAACTTGCCTTAATGCCGCAACCCACGTATACCACACACCAGTACACCTTTTAACCTTTCCTACGTTGACTGGCCAGGACCTTATCGCTATGGCATACCGCACCTTGGCTTAAGGGGGTACTCCAGATTTCGTAATAAAGTGAGGGGGGTCTCATTTCGGGGGGGGGTCTCTTCCAGGCTATCTTGGAGGGCCTGGGGGGGTCTGGGGACGATGTTTTGGAGGGTTCTCCCACTGGGGGGGTCTAAAACTTCTCGTCTGGGAGGGTTGAGACCCCCTCCCTGTTATTACGAAATCTGGAGTAGCCACTTCAGATGATACTGCAGCGCACTATTCGATCTCACTGGAATCACAAAATCTCGGCGCTCCTGCTGATCAGGTAGGTCTGGATGGCGTGCGCTGGGATCTTGGCCTTCGCTGCCTTCTCGCCCGCGTGGATCTTGAACTCAATCTGCGTGTCCCCACAGTTGAGCACCACAAGCGCAACTTGCTCATCGGGGCGCATAAAAGACGCTGCCTGCAATCCATCGCTAGATTTGCACGTGCCGTAGCCCCTTGTCTCACCACTGTAACTCACGGAATTCAATACGTACGTCTCGATATACTCGGAGCCAGGCAGAACCCACTTCGAAAAATGGCCCATGTAATACAACTGCGGGTGTACATAATAGCTTTGATCACTGACGATAATAGCTGCATCGCAAACGTTGTCCACATGATTGGGCCCGCCGTCTTTGTCAAGCGCCAGATTCCAATCAATCCAGCCTGTAGCGCCGGCTTTCAGGTCACCCATGATGTCATGAGCGTACCCTTCACCGAAGCTCCACTTGCCCTCTTTCATCATGGTGTCGCCAGCGTCCCAAGCCTGCTTCTCAAAGGTGGCCTCAGTCCCCAGGATGACCGCATCGGGAAATTTTTCGTGGATCTTGGCAACTTGGTCGAACATGTCCCCAGAGTACCAGTGCAGCCCTATACCAGTGAGAAAACGCGAAGCAGTACTGTCCCCCAACAGGGCCTCCGCCCACTCGAACGCATCGTCCTTGTTGTGGTCGTAGGCGAAGATCTTCACGTCTGGGTGATCCTTCCGCAGGGTTGGGCCCAAGTCCCGTCCGACGAACTCCGCCTCCTCTTCCTTGCTCCACTTGCACGCCTCCCACGGGGCGTTAAACTCCGGCTCGTTCTGCACGGTGATCGCCCAAATGGGCACGCCCTGTTTCTGGTAGGCAGAGATCCACTTGGAGATGTACTTGGCCCACGTAGGCCGCATCCCGTCCTTGAGGCACACGTCGTCGGAGCCGTCCATCTGCCCGCTGGTCTTCATCCACCACGGGGGGCTCCAAGGGGACGCCAGCAGGCTGAGGTTCCGCCCCGTCGACTTGAGCACCTCGGGATGGGGGTGTCTCGGGGCGGAAGAGGGAGGAGGAGGCAGCAGAGGGAGTGGGCAGCTTAGCTAGACGTGTTCGCGCCAGATCAGGCATCCTACTCCTCCCACCCATCCTTTCCCATTGCGCTGATTCTGGTTCTCTATATCCGCAGACTGGTGCCATGGCGGACCTGAAACGCTTACAAGGACCCCATCGCGCTGTGCGCGGTCAGAGACGGGGAGCAATGTACGGTGGAGAAGGAGGATGCGGGGGATGGGCAAGAGGATGAGCAGGAGGAAGAAGACGAGGATGGGGATGGAGGAGGACTAGAGGGAATATCAGGAGCAGGAGCAGGGAGGTAGGAGGATCGGGGCAGGCAGCATGACCAGTGAAGGCAGGAAAAGGGGAAGGAGCGGGGCGACAACGACGATGAAGAACTCGGATGCAGAATGTTTGCCCGCACTGGGGCCATGGCACCATTTTGAACGATGGGAACAACGCGCTGATCCCAAAACGAAGCCAACGCTGCGGCGGGCACACCACTTGTGACACACCAGAGAAACTCTCTGACAAAGAAAAAGAGTTAAACAAATGCTGTAATAGAACCGGCTAAAACACAACCGGCGATAGAAAACGGGCCACGCTCGGACAGGATTCGGGAAGAGAGGAGGGTAGTACGTAGCACCCCGCAGATGCGGATAAGAGTGAGGGGACTCTGGTGAAGCCCGCCGCAAGCGCCAAAGTTTCACAAATTATTCAACGAGCCCGCCGCAGACGCCGATTTGCTTATTAAAACAAATGTGGGTAGGTTGCGGGCTGGTCGCGGGTGGTTCGCAATTGGGTCGCGGGTGGGTCACGGGTGGGTCGCGGGTGGGTCGCTGTTGGGTCGCGGGTGGGTCGCAGGTGGGTCGCGGGTGTAGAAAATCCACCTTATAAATAATCACCCCGACAAGTGAAGCCGTTTTGTAAACGCACAGAAAGAATGAACCGAACAGGGCAGGGCTGTTTAGTAAACGCGCAGGGCCTTTTAGTAAACGTCAAACGTCAATTGTCGGGTCCGGGAATTTTTTTCCTCCCTTGAGGGTGGGTCGCGGGGTGGGTCGCGGATGGGTCGCGGGGTGGGTCTCGCGGGTAGATCGCGGATGGGTCGCGGATGGGTCGCGGGGTGGGTCGCGGGTGGGTCGCGGGGTGGGTCGCAATCGGGTCGCGGGTGGGTCGCGGGGTTGGTTGCGGGGTAGGTCGCGGGTGGGTCGCGGGTGGGACGACGACAACAAAAAACATTAACAACGACAACGCAACAACCAGAATTCTCACCACGAGTTCCCTTTGCAGTCACGCACCCAGGGACAATGAATGACCATTCGGCCCCCTCACTCTGATTATATCAAGCCAGGTGCGCTCGCGCCATGTGACGTCCTACCCCTCCTTCCCATACCTCACCATTGCGCATCGCCCCCCTCTCTATTCGCACTATCGGATGCCGAAGAGGACAACGGTCCCCAACGAGAGGCATAGCATAGCATAGCATTGCGTAGTCAAGCATAGCATACCATAGCCTTGCAGCACAAGGCATTACACCGCATAGCGGCACATGACCTAGCATGATATGGCATGACACTGCATGGCATGGCACTGCGTAGCCCAACGTTGCATGTCACAGCATTGCAGAGCAAGGCATGGTATCACATACTAGCGGTACATAACATAGTCGTGAAGGGTGGGAAATCAGGGCTGTATGAACGTTCAAGCCGGGAAACCATGCTGCGTCGTGAGCACCATTCGGAGCACCATTCTGGGGCGTGCTGCGTCGTGAGCACCATTCGGGCGGACCGAAAACGCGGATATGAGGCCAGCGCTGCAGCGGGATCACCATTCGGAAGGACCTAAGACGCGGAAATAATTATACTGGCGAAGGACCCGACCATATGTAAACGTGAATACCGCAGGGCAGGTGGGACGAAGCGAGAGGAATTCTCTATGGGGCCACGATCCTCGTGACGGGTGCCGAAATGGCCCGAGGCCGCCATGCGAACGCTGCCACTGGAGCCTTCGGTGGAGCTCCCTTATGGGGCCACGATCCTCGTGAGGTGTGTGCCGAAATGGCCAGAGGCCGCCATGCGAACGCTGCCACTGGGGCCTTCGGTGGAGCTCCCTATGGGGCCACGATCCTCGTGAGGGGTGTGCCGAAATGGCCCGAGGCCGCCATGCGAACGCTGCCACTGGAGCCTTCGGTGGAGCTCCCTATGGGGCCACGATCCTCGTGAGGGTGTGCCGAAATGGCCCGAGGCCGCCATGCGAACGCTGCCACTGGGGCCTTCGGTGGAGCTCCCTATGGGGCCACGATCCTTGTGAGGGGTGTGCCGAAATGGGGCGGGGCCGCCATGCGAACGCTGCCACTGGCGCCTTCGGTGGAGCTCCCTATGGGGCCGCGAACCGTGTGAAGTGTGTGCCGCGATGGGGCACGGCCGCCATGCGAACGCTGCCACTGGGGCCTTCGCTGGAGCTCCTATGGGGCCACGATCCTCGTGAGGGGTGTGCCGAAATGGCCCGAGGCCGCCATGCGAACCCTGCCACTGGGGCCGTCGGTGGAGCTCCCTATGGGGCCACGATCATCGTGAGGGGTGTTCCGAAATGGAGCGGGGCCACCATGCGAACGCTGCCACTGGGGCCTTCGGTGGAGCTCCCTATGGGGCCACGATCCTCGTGAGGGGTGCGCCGAAATGGGGCGGGGCCACCATGCGGACGCTGCCACTGGGGCCTTCGGTGGGGCTCCCTATGGGGCCACGATCATCGTGAGGGGTGCGCCGAAATGGAGCGGGTCCACCATGCGAACGCTGCCACTGGGGCCTTCTGTGGAGCTCCCTATGGGGCCACGATCCTCGTGAGGGGTGCGCCAAAATGGGGCGGGGCCGCCATGCGAACGCAGCCACTGGAGCCTTCAGTGGAGCTCCCTATGGGACCACGATCCTCGTGAGGGGTGCGCCAAAATGGAGCGGGGCCATCATGCGAACGCTGCCACTGGAGCCTTCGGTGGAGCTCCCTATGGGGCCACGATCCTCGTGAGGGGTGCGCCAAAATGGGGCGAGGCCACCATGCGAACGCTGCCACTGGGGCCTTCGGTGGAGCTCCCTATGGGGCCACGATCCTCGTGAGGGGTGCGCCGAAATGGGGCGGGGCCGCCATGCGAACGCTGCCACTGGGGCCTTCGGTGGAGCTCCCTATGGGGCCACGATCCTCGTGAGGGGTGTGCCGAAATGGGGCGGGGCCACCATGCGAACGCTGCCACTGGGGCCTTCGGTGGAGCTCCCTATGGGGCCACGATCCTCGTGAGGGGTGTGCCGAAATGGGGCGGGGCCGCCATGCGAACGCTGCCACTGGGGCCTTCACTATGGGGCCACGATCCTCGGTTATGCGAACGCTGCCACTGGGGCCCACGATCCTCGTGGGGTGATGCCAATTGCGCCATGCGAACGTCCACTGGGCCGCCATTGCCACGGCCTTCGGTGGAGCTCCCTATGGGGCCACGATCCTCGTGAGGGGTGCGCCGAAATGGGGCGGGCCGCCATGCGAACGCTGCCACTGGGGCCTTCGGTGGAGCTCCCTATGGGGCCACGATCCTCGTGAGGGGTGTGCCGAAATGGGGCGGGGCCGCCATGCGAACGCAGCCACTGGAGCCTTCAGTGGAGCTCCCTATGGGGCCACGGAACGATGTTCTGGGTGGGTGAAACGCAGGGAGGAGGGGGGAGGAGGGGGAGGAGGAGAGGAGGAGGAGGAGGAGGAGGAGGAGGAGGAGGAGGAGGAGGAGGAGGAGGAGGAGGAGGAGGAGGAGGAGGAGGAGGAGGAGAAACGCGGGGCGACGTCTCTTCAAAACGAGGACCCAATAACACAGGATGGTTGGGAAAAACAGTGCTGCAGCGGGAGCACGACCTTGAAGGACCCGAAGCGCAAAACAATTGAGGCCAGCGCTGCAGCTGGTCCACGATCTTGAAGAACCGAAAGCGATCGGAGTGGGAAACACCACCAGACATAGCACATGTTGAAACACTGTGTGCGCGTGTGTATGTATGTGTATGTGTCCGTGAGTGAGTGAGTGCGTGCGTGCGTGCGTGCGTGCGTGCGTGCGTGTGTGAGAACCACCAAATAAACACAATGCGCGGAGAGGGCGGAAATCTTTTGGACAGGGTCGGAGTAAAGGGGATCCTATTCAGAATGCGTAAGCCACAAACAGTTGTTCGACAATCCATGCGCGGCGGACGCTTTTCGCGCCATGCCCTCCGACACGCCATGCCGGCGATGCCGCCCTGCGACACGCCCTGCCCTGCGACACGCCATGCTGCTTGGCGTGTGGCGCGGCGTCTGCCCCGGCGACGCGCCATGCCCTGCGAGCGATCGCGCGTCGCCCCGCTCCGCGTGGCGGGCAGCTGGGACGAGCTCAAGACGTTGACGCTTGAGGAGGAGGAGGAGGAGGAGGAGGAGGAGGAGGAGGAGGAGGAGGAGGAGCTCAAGACTGGGGTGTGAGCGTCGTGCCGCGCCGCGAAGCGAGGGGGGCGGGCCAGAACCGGCGGCGCGACACGCTGAGCAAGCGCTTCCTGCCCGCATCCGCCATGCCCCTGGCCGCCACGCCTTCGCGCCTCGTGCTCTGCGCGGCGCGGGGGGGCCGTCTGCTCCGCGCCCTCACGCGACCCCCCTGGCCGGGAACCGAGGGGCGCGATCACATCTCGAGCCGTTGCGGAGGACCCAGGCTTCCCCCCCCTTCCTGCCTCCTGCGCGCGCGTGATGAGCGGGATGAGCAACTTCTGGTCGTGAGTGACGTTGTTGTCGAACTTTTTCAGGTCGACGTCGCCCTCCTCGCCTGGGCTCTTCCGAAGTGTGCCCACCAGCGGGGTGCTCCTCCCTCGCCCTGGCACCTCCTCCCTCGCATAGGCTGAGGGGGAGGGGGGAGGGGGGGAAAGGATCACATCGGTGGGTGCAGTGTCAGTCACGGGGGGGGGATGGGGGGGGCAAAATGGTACCGATACTACTACTCCCTCGACCTCGCCGGGGCTGCGATCCCACCAGAATTTGGAGGCCAATCCAGCCGTGGCGACTAGGGAAGGCCAGCGGTGTCCGTATCTGTTCCTCTTCTGGTTCGCTCCGCGCCGTCGAAGTCGTAGTTCTCTATGGAGAAGTCGCAGCTGTTGATGTGCACACGGCCCACTGTGAATCCCATGCCGTCTTTACCGAACAGCAGCTGCAACAACTGCTCCTGCTTGGCAGTGGGCAACTCCGCAAACACGGAAGCGGCCGCCTCCGTGAAGGCGGAGCCGAAGCCGGTGATGCTCTGGCCCCGCCTCCCCGATATCCCGACGACGGGCCCGTCGAAATCGAAGTCATCCTTTCGAGACAGCGCAAGCATATATTAGCAACACGTGGATTAGCGACGGGCCCCGTCGCCAAATCGGGCAACACTGGCTGCACGTTTGGGGTACCTTCCGCGATTCGTGGATCTGGCGACCACACGCAAGAACCACGGACCCCTGAACCCTGTGAACGTTCGCTCGATCATTGACACGGCATAAATATAATTTTCTGGAGACCCGTGAGATTTCTTGGGTCGGAGCGCGCCATGGGTGGGGGGCCAACGCTGATCCAGGACGTATCTCCGAAAACTTGTGTTGATGCAACTGTTGTTCTTCGACTCCTTGAACTGCACGTCCGCACCCTTGGCAGGATCAGTCAACATCGCATCGGCAAACCAGATCGGATCGAAACGTGCATCGGATCGGGATACATCGGCACGGAATCGAAATGAATCGCATCGGCTGCACCAGGACGCACAACAGCGCCATGCAAGCATCGGGCTACATCGGAACGTCGGAATATCGGATTGGAATCGGATTGAGCTGGCCAGAACCGATATCGAATCGGAGCGATCGGGTCGAAATGGCGGGTTACGAAAAACCTGAATCAAAAAACCTGGCCACCTCTTGGGAGGTCGATTTCGACTTTCGCCGGCTTCCGCTGGCCTTCCGCGAGCTTCCGCCAATGGAGCCGCCCCCGTTTGACTTCCGCGGCCTTCCGCCGCCTTCCACCGAGGAAGAGATAGAAACTCCATCTATCCTCGAAGGCGATACCCCTTCCGTAAAGCATAATGTCTAGTCAGATCGATCGGATCGAAATGGACCCTGCCTTTGTCATCTTCTTCTCGGCGCCCTGGGCGGTGGTCCACAGAGAGGCCGACGCCGCGCTGCTCGTGGAGGACACCCCCACCGCCTGCGCCAGCAGGGCTATCAGCGGCTGCAGCAGCGTCATGTCGCCCCCACCTTCTGTGGCAACTCGCGGGAGCCTCTCATACCATCTTGCTGGCTCTTGCAAAATCGACGCTAACCGATGCTGATCGACGATCGTCGACGCTGACCGACGTTCAATCGGCCCTGATCGACTCTAAAACCAGTGCTCTCCGATCGATTACCAGACGCTGCCGCACTTGAAGCTCGCTGAGGGGCAGCGAACGCGATCTGGGTTTCTGGGGCGACGGGGGAGAGGGCAATGCTTTTGCAGGGCATGAGCAGCCCAATCGTCGGCAAGAGCAAACCAGAAATCAGAGCTTCTCGCCAAGGGAGGCTGTAAGGATTGCTGTTGACCGATCAAGCACGCCCGCCGAGCGTACGGGGATCTGGTCCTGGAAACAACGCTGCCCCCCCAGCGACCCGCACGCGAATGCCGGGGATAGACAGAACTCCCTTTAGCAAAACGTGGTTCAGTGAAAACGACCTCGGGCCCAAACCTGGCGGGCGCAGGCCTGGAAAAGGACGGCCGCGGCGCCCCCCAGAGAACCGAAGACGGGCAATTCACGAATCGACGTGTCAGCGTGGGGGCTCTGTCCACCCCTGATATGAAGGGGCCCTGGGACACACACACACACACACACACACAAATAAGGACACACAAATGACAGGGTGTCCCAATATGTTTCCCCATATCTTCTGCGTCTTCGTCCTCCCCCCCCCACTTCCCATCTCTTCCCACCGCTTCCTGGGAGTCGACGATGCACTGTGCCTGTGCGTGTGTGTTTCTCCCCTCCCTGTGAGCAGTGCACCCGAAACCGAAACGCCGAGGACGTGCCGGGCGCCCGTTGCCCTCCGCACCCGCCGCCTCGGCAGGGCGCCCCTGCCTGGCAGACGGCGGCGCGCCCGCGCCGGCCCTGGCAGACGGCGGCAGGCGACACCTCGAGCCACGAGAGGGGGGGGGGCCCTCGGCGCTCGGCGGGGAGGCGGCCTCCGGGCTGAGCGGCCCCGATGCGCAACACGCAGCACGCAGCGTATGGATGCGGAGCTCAACACGCGAGCTGACAACGCAGGTCCGGCGCGATGCATTCGCCAAAACGTGGCCCAATGCGTGGAGCCAACACGCAACGCATTGACACGGACGTCTTGAACACGGGACGTATTGCGTTTCAAGACGGGCGTATCGAGGCAACTAAGCCTCCGGGAGGTCTTTGCAGAAAGGAGCACGGGCTACCAGACCGGATAGGGGCCTCTGCGCGTCGTTCACTTCTGATCGTGCTCGTTTCTGAGGGTGCTCGTTTCGAAGTGTTCCTGGCCCCCTGGTGGCCAGGAGGAGGCCCAGGTTAGAACAATTGGAAATGAAGGGATCTTGGCCCCCCCCCCCAAAAAAAATCACTTTCGAGTAATTAGACATGAACAACGTGTACGCTTCACCAGACCAAACGAGAACCGAGACTACGCCCCACTAAGCCAGACGAAACCGGATCAGGCCGGATGGAGCGGGATGATGCCGGCGTAGGCTGGTTCGACCACGCATATACCAACGCCGATGTTGAATTTAACCTCCCAGGGGGTGCATCCGAAGCGCTCCTGTTGCGCGGAAGTGACCACCGGAAAGGCGGCCAAGCGAGCACATTGGCAGTGCATCGGCGACGCCAGGAGGGAGGACGTCGGGCTCCACATCGAGCATCATCGCCGATGCGTCGGCGATGCGGCGTGGTCCTCGGGCGTGGACTAAACTGGCTCGGCCAATTAGAGACAAACACTGGGCTGTCGCTTTTCCTGGGGCTTCCCAAATCCGACTCCGCCGAGACATGCCAAGTTAGCTTTTCAGAAAATTCCGCAGGATCTGGCGCTCTGGCTGACCCCACCTGCTCTGGCCCAGGTTGGGCGGCCAGGAGGAAGAGGAGGAGGAGGAGGAGGAGGAGGAGGAGGAGGAGGAGAGAGAGGAGGAGGAGGAGGAGGAGAGGAGGGAGGAGGAGGAGGAGGAGGAGGAGGAGAGGAGGGAGGAGGGGGGGAGGAGGAGGAGGAGGAGAGGGAGGAGGGAGGAGCAGGAGGAGAAGGAGGAGGAGGAGGAGGAGGAGGAAGGCATGAGGCAGGGCAGAGAGCACAAGAAGGCGAGGGGTGGTGGAGAGGGGGGAACACCGACAGGGGGAGGACGGGAGCGAAGAGCACGGCAGCGCTGGGCCGTGGCCAAACACCTGCGAGGCGAACGAGCACACTGCTGCTGTGCCATCTTAGCTTTCCCTTCGCGAGCGCCTTTTATTTTATTCGCGGCCATAACGGGCGGTATTGGGGGGGTGGACGGGGACATAACGTAGCGCCCCCCCCCCAGAGTGTGGTGCCTGACGCACGGCGGCAGTGCTGGAGACGCACCGATGGGGGGAGCGTTACGTTATGGGAGGGAAGGGGGAGGGCGGGGCAGGGGGCATAACGCGCGTTATGGCCCAGAGTGTAAAAAACTTCCCACTTGTGCAGCAGTCAGATGTGCTCAGCCGGCGAATGTCTCGAAGCCTAAGCACGCTTACCGTTTAGTCGTTGGCTCAGCGCGTGTTGCATGATGCATCAGTGGGCTCGTGAACGCATCGATGCTCGCACCGCTTGCAAGGATGAGGAGGAGGCACAGCGTCAAGGGATTGCATGGAGGAGGAGGAGGAAACAAAGAAGGAAAGAAAAGCCCCCCCCCGAGAGGCGCCCACGCGGCTGCTGCTACGCAGGCGTCCCTGGCGCTCATGCGGCGAACGGGGTCCACGGCGACCATCCACCTGTGCCGGGCAGTCCAGAGGCGGTGGGGTTGGGGGAAAGCGGGGGGGGAGGAAAGGGGGGAAGCGGGGGAAGGAAGAGGACATGGAGGAATGAGCAGGGTGAGGAGGAGAAACAAAGGGGGGAAGAGGAGGAGGAGGAGGAGAAGGAGGAGGAAAGCCAGTGCAAATCCAAGACGCAGCAACAATGTTGCAATGAACTCTCCCTCCATTGGTCCTTGGAAGAACTTATGTGCATTGCGGGAAGTGCCCCACTGGAAGACAGCCATCTAGGAATCCTCAATGGTGCCAAACACCAGTCCTGTGACTTCAACGCCACGGATCAATGAGACTGTTGCGTCCTGGCAATCCTGCATCGCGCAAGGACACAATTCCTGGGACTTCAGCCATACGATTCTTTGAAACTGCTACAAACGTTGAAAAGTATGTGCGTCGCGAAGGCGAGATGAACATTTCGCAAACGGCGCACCCTCCATCGAGAAAACGTTGAAAATGATTTTGCGCGGCGCTGAAACGAAAACCACATTGTGAAAACGGCCGGCCCTCCATCCGTAAACTGCTGCACACATTGAAAACGAATGAACGTGGCGCTGAAGCGATAGCCCCATTTTGAAAACCGCCCGCCCGTCATCCTTCAAACGGTTGAAAACGTTGAAGACGAATGTGCGCGGCGCTAATGCGAGAACCACAATTTGAAAATAGCCCGACCTTCATCCGTGAAACTGTTGCAAATTTCAAGCTTCGGGATCATAGATGTTAAGAAGATCTTAGGCGAAACGCCCCGCAGGCCCTACCAACACGTGTGGAGGTGTGCAAGGGACGACCGATGTACGAGGAAACGGGATGGGGGAGGAGGAGGAAGAAGAGGAGGAGGAGGAGGAGGAGGAGGAGGAAGGGGGGGCAAGAGGAGGAGAGGGAGGGGGAGAAGGGAGGGCGCGGAAGCGGAGGGATGGGAGGGGGAGGACAGCCCAGAGCCCTGGCAGCCCGATCGGCGTACAGTCGGTGCGTTGACCTGAGGAACCCTAAATAAGGAACGAGGCTTTTTTTTCTCTCCATAATTTAAACTTCGATTCCCCACCGAAAACATAAGGAAACCCTGAGGCAAACTGCGAAACAATGAAGGAACACGGAGCCCCTCCCCAACTAAAAGGGTTCCTTATTCAGCGCCCCGACTGTAAGGGGGGGAGGGGAAGCGAGCAGTGGAGGCAGAAGAAGACCAGACCCCCGACGTTTTCCTATTTTTGAACACCGTCGACCCCCAGAGGTCTGTACCCTCTCCCCGGGACCAGATTCTCGTCCTCGGCCGTCTTTTGGTGGCCCCGAGGCCCTGTCGGCGCTCCCAGATGTTGAACCTTGTGAAAAACCTCCCGTCGGATTGTTTCACAACGCGTGGGGGTCTGTGACAGTGGAGGGGGGGGGGGGGAGGCAGGGAGAGGGACTGGGAGGCGGGAAGCGCGGGAAGGGAGAGAACTCCGAGTCGGGGTCGGACTCTCGAAGCCCGAGCCTCGGAGCCAGGAGCCTTGGAGTCGGAGTCTCGCACTCGGAGCCTCGCAGCCGGAGCCTCGGAGCTCGGAGCTCGGAGCTCGGAGCTCGGAGCTCGGGGCTCGGGGCTCGGAGCTCGGAGCTCGGAGCTCGGAGCTCGGAGCTCGGAGCTCGGAGCTCGGAGCTCGGAGAGCCGAGTCTCGGAGTCCGCGTCTCGGAGTCGGAGGCCTCGACGCCCGAGGCCCGACCCCCGAGGCTCGGGCGGCGCCGGCGCGCGCCTGCAGAGCTGCCGGGCCTCGTCGGAGAAGCGTAGCCCGCCTGGCGCGGCGCGGCGCGGGGCGCTCGCGGGTCGGAGCGCCGCGCGCCACTGCAGCTGTGCCGCCGTCAGCCAGGAGGGCCGAGGGTCCTCCTGCTCCTCCTCCTCCTCCCTCCTCCTCCTCCTCCTCCTCCTCCTCCTCCTCCTCCTCCTCCTCCTCCTCCCCTTGCTCCTCCTCCTCCCCTCCTCCTCCTCTCCTCCTCCTCCTCTCTCCTCCTCCTCCTCCTCCTCCTCCTCCTCCTCCTCTTGCTCCTCCTCCCTGCTCCTCCTCCTCCTCCTCCTCCTCCTCCTCCTCCTCTCCTCGGGTTCTCCTAAGAGGGCCCTCCTCATCCTCAAAGGATCCTCCTCCTCCTCCTCCTCCGCCTCCTCTTCCTCCTCCTCCTCCTCCTCCTCCTCCTCAGCAGCAGCAGCAGCAACATCATCATCAGCATCATCAGCATCATCACCATCACCGTCACCGTCACCATGACCATCACCACCATCATTAACACCCTCCTCCTCCTCCTCCTCCTCCTCCTCCTCCTCCTCCTCATCATCATCATCATCATCATCGTCATCATCATCATCATCATCATCATCATCATCATCCTCATCCTCATCATCATCATCACCACCATCATCATCATGATCATCATCATCAGCAGCATCATCGTCAGCAGAAATAGCATCATCATCTTCACCACCATCATCATCACCATCACCATCATCATCATCATCATCATGATCATCATTCTCATCCTCATCCTCATCCTCATCCTCATCTCATCATCATTCTCATCCTCACCCTCATCATCATCAGCAGCATCATCATCATCTTCATCCTCATCCTCATCCTCATCATCATTCTCATCCTCACCCTCATCATCATCAGCAGCAGCAGCATCATCATCCTCATCATCATCATCATCATCATTGTCGTCATCGTCATCATCATCATCATCAGAATCATCATCATGGTCATCAGCATCGTCATCACCATCAACATCAGCATCAGCATCATCATCATCAGCATCGTCACCATCACCGTCATCCTCATCCTCACCCTCATGCTCAGCATCATCACCATCAGCAGCATCATCATCATTGTCGTAATCGTCATAGTCATCATCATCAGCATCAGCATCATCACCATCAGCATCATCATCATCATCACCATCATCATCATCATCATCATCAGTATCATCATCATCATCATCATCATCATCATCATCATCATCATCATCATCATCATCATCATGATCATGATCATCATCATCATCCCTCACCTCCTCCTCCTCCTCAGAGGACCCACCTTCTCCTTCTTCCTCCTCCTCTTCTTCCTCCTATTCCTCCCCCTCTTCTTCTCCTCCTCCTCCTCCTCCTCCTCCTTCTCCTCGTCCTTTTCCTTTTCCTCCTCAGAGGGCCCACCTCATCCACTTCCTCCCTACCTCCTGCTCCTCCTCATCATCATTCTCATCCTCCTCCGCCTCATCCTGCTCATCCTCTTCCTTCCTCCGTCCCGCCCACCCACCCTTCCCTCCCTCCCACCCTCACTCCCTCCTCCTCCCTCTTCCTCCTCCCTCCTGCATGCCTCCTCCACCGCCCCTCCCGTCTGCCTGGGTTGAGGGTGGCCAGGCCTCCAAGAAAGCGTCCTGCTCCTGAGGCTCCAGCAGGTTGCATTTCGCGGCGGCGGCGGCAGCGGCAGGGGGCGCCCCGCCCAGGCGCGCCACGTCGCGCAGCGCCGGTGCGGTCGCGGACGGCCGTGGCCGCAGCGCGAGCACCCTCGGCTGCGGAGGGCCCAACGGCACAGCTCGGGCCACGTCGCCCCTGGCCTTTTGGGGGTCCCTCCCTCCCTCCCTCCCTCCCTCCCTCCTCCCTCCTCCCTCCTCCCTCCTCCCTCCTCCCTCCTCCCTCCTCCCTCCTCCCTCCTCCCCGGCGGGGGCCCTCCGCCGCACGTTCATGCAGCGCTGGGCCGAACAGAATGCGTGGGAGCGGGCCCCGGCGTGCGCAGAGTGCAGACGGACTTTCGGACATCGCCACGCCCCGCACCTTTCCCCCTTGCGCGCGCGTGAAACCTGCTGGAGCCTAAATAAAGCGGCCTCCAACGCCGGTGGGCAAAAAGGGCAGCAAGGAGCCACGCCAGGTGCGGATCAGGGTCCGCGCCACCACGAAGTGGGCGTGGGCCCCTCCGGGTCTTCACGGACACAGTGCTCAGAGGCCTCTTCAAAACTGTGTCCGAGTAGGTGGCGTCCGAGGATCGCGCCGCATCGCCGATGGATGCATCGGCGATGCATCGGTGATGCAACGGCGACGTCGGCGGTGCATCGGCGACGTCGGCGTGGAGAACATCGGGCTCCACATCGAGCCGTGCCGGCGATGCCTCGGCGATGCGGCGCGATCCTCCGCCCCAATCTGCTCGGACCTGCCCTGGGAGGCCTACAGTATGGTGGGGCGCAAACATGGATTAGCGATCCATGGATCTGGCGCGCGGTCGCCAAATCCATAGATCGGGGGAGGTGCCCCCCCCAAGATGCAGCTGCTGCCGCCTCGCTCGGCGGCGGAAATCCAGGATTCCCTGAACAAGCGGGACCCGTCGCTGATCCACGCCACCTTTTATCCATGCTTGCGATCGCCTGCTCCTCCTCCTCCTCCTCCTCCTCCTCCTCCTGCTCAGAGGGCCCACCGTCTCCTTCTTCCTCCTCCTCTTCTTCCTCCTCTTCCTCCTCCTCCTTCTCCTCCTCCTTCTCCTCGTCCTTTTCCTTCTCCTCCTCAGAGGGCCCACCTCATCCTCATCCTCCCTACCTCCTCCTCATCCGCCTCCTCCTCCTCATTCTCATCCTCCTCCGCCATGCCTGCGATCGCCTGAAGAGTGTGGTGGCCCCATCGCGCGTTCTCCTGGCCCCCCGGGTATCGCCAAGAAGCGCCACCGCTCCAGAGGCTCCGGCTGCCCAGGCCGCGCTCGCTCGCCCCCGCCCGCCTGCCCCGCCCCTTCCCGCCACTGGTGTCAAGTCAGGCCTGTCCTCCTACACGGGGATTTTGGACGAAAAATAAAACATTGCCAAAAAATACCCCCAAATGGACAAACAACAAAATTCAATACATAGTCCCCAGACTATTTGTTTGACCATGTTTGAATCTTCCTCCTGTAGAGGGACAGGCCCGACTTAACACTGGTGCTGCTAGAAGCGGTCCTGGCCCACGGCGCCCCCGGATATTCGCACAATTCTGGAACCACTGTGGCCCCCCTGGGCCCTGCGATGGGGTGCTCTGGAGGCCGCGGGGGTCTCCTGGGAGATCCTGGCGGCGTCTTGGGCCTCCGTACCAGAGCTCCGAAAGCGTGTCTGGACATCGTTCCACCGACCCCCTGTCCCCCATGGGCGTGACCTGGGCCCCCTGGCCGATTCACCCCCCTGAAGGACGAGGTGGACCATTTCCTTCGCTTTCCGAGGGGCACATCCCGAAATAGGGCGCTGAGATGGCGGGGGTCTGGACAAGGATGGGGATGGGGAAACAGGGGTCGGTTAAACGATGATGAGTCCCTCTCCCATCCGCGCGTCGCACGTGCGCGGCGCCCGCGCATCGCGCGGGCCCCCGCAGCCGAGCGGGCCGACCAAGTAAGGCAGCGCCGGCTGCCCCCAACTCAGGCGCAGGACGGACCAGCACGCAGGCTGCCGAATTAGGGCGCGGAGACACCCATCGCCGTCACGCTGGGGCCTTTTCCTTTTCCTAGTCCTCCTCCTCCTCCTCGTCCTCCTCCTCCTCGTCCTCCTCCTCCTCCTCCTCTTCCTCCTCCCTCCCCCACTCCTCCTTCTCGTCCTCCCCCCCCTTCCTCCGCCTCCTCCTCCCGTAAGGAAAGTAATGATGCAGACATCGTGAGAGGTGGCAATGGTGGAGGAGGAGGAGGAGGAGGAGGAGGAGGAGGAGGAGGAGGAGGAGGAGGAGGAGGAGGAAGAGGAGGAGGAGGAGGAGGAGGAGGAGGAGGAGGAGGATAGATGTGGGAGGCAAATTCTCAAGAGAAGGACTCTCTTCCGATGCGATAGCGGATCGATAGCTGCGCTTACGATCATGAAAAATAGAGCGCCTGCCGCTGGAACAACCAACTGCGGCGCGGACGCTCGCTATGCTCGCTTGCATGTGACCCATCCCCTCCTCTCCTCCTCCTTCCTCCTCCTCCTCTCCTCCTCCTCCTCCTCCTCCTCCTCCTCCTCCCTCCCCTCCCCTCCCCCTCCTCCTCCCCTTCCTCCTCCTTCTCCTCCCCCCCTCCTCCTCCTCCTCCTCCTCCTCCTCCTCCTCTTCCTCCTCCTCCTCTTCCTCCTCCGTTCTGACTCGGGGGGACGAAACGAGCGGTGGCAAGCGTCAAGCTACATGTTGCGAAACAGTGCTGCAATGCGCACATAGCCTTCAGGAGATTAACTCAACTCCTAACTGCTTTGTGAAGGCTTGGGGCCCACGCGTGATATGAGTAGCGGCCACGGCAAGCCGTGCCCGACTCGGCCAAGTGCCAAAGTCGAGTATGCAAAGGTCGTGAATAGCAGACTTCCGCCTTGAATTCGTGTAATGTGGTAATGGTCGGGTAACAGTATTCTAGGTTTCGGGCTGCTGCGAGCGCTTCCGCAGAGCAACTTGACCGAACCTGCAGTCAATGCGACTTGCAGTAGGCGTCTGTCAGGTGTACGACCGGTTTCCCATCGGGCGTGGTTCGTTCCACGCGTAAAAGAGCTGGCACCTCTGCTGCCATACCCGTTGGTCTCACCTCCAACTTCTCTGGTCAAACGTCGGTAGCCGGAGGCGCTGTGGAGATCGAGTGATCAGGTGGGATTCACGACAGTCTACCTTATATTCTTAGGCTCCGCCTGAAGCTTGCGCATGGTCGCGTTAAGCCGTCGGGCCTGTGAGCCCGTCGGTGCCAGCACCCGCTGTAGCAAGACGACGCAGACATCAACCAGACTTGGGTAATAGGGGCATAAGCGAGTTCCCCGCGGAGGTTAACAAAGATGTCGGCGATGATTTGGGTAGCCTCTTC